CTACCACTACGACTACGACTACTACTCCTACTCCGACTCCTACTCCTACTCCTTCTGCCACTGCTACTGTTGCTACTGCTGTTGCTGCTACCGCTACTGCTACTGCTGGTGCTGCTCTACAGCTACGGCTACTATGGCTACCACTGCACTCAATCACTATTACATACTATCAACACTTACTCCGAAAAGTAGCTTGGCAAGACCAGGCGCAGGAGCAATACACCCGACTCATGGAGGGTGCCCAGCGCAACGACGTGCAGGTTGGAGCGGTGTGTTTGCTGAACATGCCTGATGTAGCATGGCGTGCCGTGAGGCATTTCCGGGCCAACTTCAAAACAGATTGATGTCATTCGGTAAGAAAGGGTCCTGAGGCCACGTGTCGTCCAAACCCTGAAGTGACCGACCAGGTAAAAAGAGGGGTCTCTTTATTTCAGGAACATTGCCGGAGGCATGTATATGCATGCACGTAGTATACATGTACGCTGATGTGGAATGGTGTGGTGCTGTCGTAGTCGTAGAACCTGTTCGACTGCTTCCACAAGTCATATGCCTCAGCATTTCAAAGCATGTGAAACAGAGACAGAGTGCAGGCACCAAGGGACTACCGAATGGCCTCGTCGATGTTTACATACTCGAAAAAGGGAAAAATACAGGCCAGCAAAAACAATAACAATAAACCCGCCGTTGTCCCTGCCTATCGGCAGGTCTTCCTTTACAAGATCACGAGCTGGGCTTGAAAATCAAAGTTTTAGCGGCAACCAGTATCAAGTCGGCTTCGATGGATATGAAAGATTGTCGGCCCTGTATGCGTAACGGCACATCGCTCAGCACTTCAGAGGAGATTCGGGACACCTGGTTCGTTGCAGCCCCCAAGCCCAGAACCTGAAATCCCGAAGCCCCCAAGCCGAGACTTGAAAGCTAAACCCTAAACCCTAAACCCTGAACCCTGAACCCTAAACCCTGAACCCTACCCTAAACCCTAAACCCTAAAACCCGAGAACCAAAGAGTTCGCACCTGGAGGCTGTGGGACACCTTCTGGAGCACGGAGCCGTTCCCCGCTACCGGGACCTTGCCTTGGAGTCAAAACCCAGACCCGATCATGAACTACTGTAGGCCTGAATACTTAGTAATCTCTTCAACTGCCGTGGCAATACTCTCTGCACTCCTCAAAGCTAGTTTGCAAGACTCACTCGAAAAGCGCAGCCAGCACAAAGCACTCAGAAAAGTGAGAAGCCCTCATCCCCAAAACCGCATACACGCCTAGACCATTGTCTTTCTGGAGGATGCCAGTGGTTGGACGCCGCTCCACTGGGCTGTCCTCCATGCCCCTTGGGTTGAACGCCAGAGCAATGATCCCAAAGACTCCAATATCCCTTAATTACGGAATATACCTTAAATCATATTAAGGATCCTACTATAATTAAGTCATATTAAGGATCCTACTATAATTAAGTCACATTAAGGATCCTACTATAATTTAAGGAAGGGGGGTCACCTGTGTCTTTT